GGGGGTGTATCAACGTACCTGTCTATCCCCACTTTTTTTGGTTCTTTTAAAAAAGAAAATTATCATGCTTTAAAAAAACTCTGTCCTTAGATGGTCGCTTTTAAGCACAAGGGGCTATTCCAGAAAATGTTTTTTGAGAAAATCAAAGGTGAAGTTTTTGGACCCATGAAATCTATCTCTGCGTAATTGTTTTCAAATGAATTCTTCTGTGGTTTGGCTTAGGAGTCAGTAATGATCTTGTCTGCCATATTCGTTTGAATTACTGATAAGTATTTACTCGATTAAAAAAGATAAGACAAAACTTTTGGGTTGGCTCAGTTCTGCAGATATGCAGAAAATGCTTTTGAAACAAATCAGGGGGCGAAATGAGCCATCTCATCCACAATAACATATCCCTTTTTATCTGGACTATTCCTGCATTGAAGTATAATAATATACGTTAAATGGTCTATCCCCTGTACAATGGGCTAGCCCATTAAGCTTGTTAACTCTTTAGCATTGGGTCAAGTGGTCTAGTCTGTCCACGTGAGCATTGCATTGTAAGCATTTTCTACCGAGCAGATTCGTACTGTTATGTGGAACAGTACTTAAGTGAAAACTGATACAGTAGAGAGCAAAAAAGACTTAACTGATATGAAAATATTGCAGTCTTTGGTGTCATTTTCAACTGCAACGTGCAGTGAACTTTTCATTTGAGGCCATTTTTTGAGCTAGCCCATTTAAAACGTTCAGAAGTCTGCAGTTTCTTCAAAAGACAAGGAGAGTTTTCTCTATAACCAAAACAAAAAACAAGAACACACCAATGAAACCGAACTTCTCCTATAGGTAGGGCAATGCACACTCTTGGAGTACTTCAAGATTTCTGGAAACCCCAAGAAATCTGGGTTAGGCCGCTTGTCCCTAAAAGCGACCAGAAATTCTTAATGTCTTTTTTTTTTTTTATTAACCTCGTGCAATATTTGGTAAAAATCAACTTGCGACCCACTTTCTCTTGAGTAACATCATTA